CCCCTCCTCGCCCCCCTCTGGGCCTGGCCCCCCCCCGATAAAGTGCACGTGAAGCCGGGGTGGCGCTCGGGGGGGCGGCCGTGGCTGTGGGGCGGCACTTGGGGGGCAGCACTTGGGGGGCAGCCGTGTCCATGGGTTAGCTGTGTCTGTGGGGTGGCTGTGTCCATGGGGCAGCACTTGGGGGGCGGCCATGTCCATGGGTCGGCTGTGTCCATGGGGCAGCGTGTCCGTGGGGAAGTGGTGTCCGTGGGTCAGCTGTGTCTGTGGGGCAGCCATGTCCATGGGGTGGCCACGTCTGTGGGGCAGCAGTGTCCGTGGGGCAGCTGTGTCCGTGGGGCGCGTGTCTGTGGGGTGTCCGTGGGTCGGCTGTGTCCGTCCGGTGTCTGTGGGGTGGCCGTGTCCGTGGGGCAGCCGTGGGTTGGCTGTTTCCATGGGGCGGCCGTGCCTGGGGTTTGGCCGTGTCCATGGGGCAGCAGTGTCCGTGGGGTGTCTGTGGGGCGGCCGTGGGGTGGCCGTGGGGCGGCTGTGTCTGTGGGTCGGCCGTGTCCATGGGGCGGCCGTGGGGTGTCCATGGGGTGTCCATGTCCATGGGGTGGCCGTGGGGTGTCCATGGGGTGGCCGTGTCCATGGGGTGGCCGTGGGGCGGCCGTGGGGCAGCCGTGGGGGTCCCCGTGGCTACTGCAGGTAGCGATAGGCCTTGAAGCAGTGGTTCCCCGAATCGGCCACCACCACGTGCCCGTCCGAGGTCAGCGCCAGCCCCTGGGGGCCGTAGAGCGGCTCCGCCGCCGTGTTGATGTAGGACAGGAAGGAGCCCGCGCTGTCAAACACCTGGGATGGACACGGGGACATGGGACAGGGGGACAGGGGGGATAATGGGGACAGCAGGGGGCACCGGGGACAACGGGGGCACAAGGGGCACCAGGACAGTGGGACACTGGGACAATGGGGACACAGGGACAGCAGGACAGCAGGGACACTGGGGACAGAACAGAGGGACACTGGGACAATGGGGACAGGACAGAGGGGACAACCAGACAGCAGGACAGTGGGGACAGGACAGAGGGGCAATGGGGACACCAGGGGCACGAGGGGCACTGGGGACACTGGGGACACCAGGACAGTGGAACAGTGGGGACACTGGGGACACGTGGGGCCCTGGGGACAGTGGGGACAACGGGGACACCGGGGACAGAGGGACACTGGGGACACCGGGGACAACAGGACAGCAGGGACAGTGCAACACTGGGGACAACGGGGACAGTGGGGACAGGGACAGAGGGACACTGGGGACAATGGGGACAACATGACACTGGGGACACTGGGACACTGGGGGCAGGGACAGAGGGACACCAGGGACACCGGGGACACCAGGGACACTGAGGACACCAGGGGCACAAGGGGCACTGGGACAGCAGGGACAACAGGACAGCAGGACACTGGGGACACTGAGGACACCGGGGGCACGAGGGGCACCAGGACAGCGGGACAGTGGGGACAGCAGAGGCACTGGGGGCACCAGGGACAACGGGGACATGAGGGGCACCAGGGACATCAGGACAACGGGGACAACGGGGGCAGGAGGGACACAATGGACACCGGGGGCACCAGGGACACGACAGACACCAGGGGCAGGAGGGACCCCCCACCCCAACAGACCCCCCCGTGAGGGAACCCCCACCCGGCCCCTGGCTCCGCATTTGGGCCACCAGCCCCCACCGTGGCCAAAGCCCTGCCCCCACCCGGGGGGACGGGATGGGGACAAGGATGGGGACAGGTACGGGATGGGATAAAGGTGGGGATGGGATGGGAATGGGGACGGGATTGAGATGGGGATGGGGACAGGGATGGGGACAGGACGGGACGTAAGAGGGACAGGAGAGGGAGGGGGTCGGTGCTGTCCTGGGGCTCCCAGGGCCCCCATGTCCAGGGGGGGGTCAGAGGACCCATGGTGTGTCCCCCCAGTGCCCCTGGGGGTGGGTGTCCCCCCCCCGTACCTGGATGCGGCTGTTGCCCCAATCGGCCACGATGATGTTCCCGTTGCCGTCGACGGCCACCCCCGTGGGGGCGTTGAACTGCCCGTTCCCCTCCCCGTGCGACCCGAACTTGAACAGGAACTCCCCGTCCGCGCTGTACACCTGGGGGGGCACCCTCAGACACCCCCGGGGACACCCCCACACACCCCCAGGGACCCTCAGACATCCCCACACACCCCTGCACACCCCTGCACTGACACCCTGTCACCCCCCAGCCCCCCCCGGGACGGCTCGGGGACCAGGGACCCT